ATAAAATCTGAATAGCTAAACTCCATTTTCTGGATACCTCGAATAAAAAAACTCAATCCACCCAAACAAAAAGACAATAATAAATTGTCCATCATATTATTAACATTGCCCCACACAACTACTGGAATACAATACCACCAAAATAATGTAATGTACCAATATTTTTTTATATGATGATCATTCATAAAAATACTTCTCCATAAAAACCGAAATAGGAAAATATTGAGTACCAAGACAAGTAAACTAAACAATTTTTCTATCCACCATTGATCACCTAAAATATAAAATAAAATAGATTCCAGCCATAGCATAAGTGGTGGATTTTCAAAATATGTCTCGGGAATATTTTCTAACCAGTATGAAGAAGAAAAAAAAGGACTCCAAAACGTACCCCTTCCTTCAGCCATGTTTCTAGCTATAGATGCGTAAAGTAGCCCATCTCCAAACATCCCTTTTTTGACAACTCTAGGGAGAAACCATAAACAAAGGAATGCAAAAACAAAAAACTTACCTGGATTTATAGTTCTTAAAAACTTCATCGTGTCAGATTAAGGTCAAAGATTATTAATATTATATGAAATAAAATTCATTTGTATGTCTAATTATCATTTAGTAAGGTCAAAAGTACTATCTTAATTCAAATTAGATCAAAATTCCAATAAATTTCTAACTGCAACTGCTGAATATATTATAAAACTTAAAGTTTTGCATAGATATAAGTGTTCCATACTGATTAGCGTATAATAAAATGCATAAACTCAGATGAACAAGAATTATACATTATTTTCTTAACCAGTTTTTAACCAAAATCATCATTTCTTTACCTTTTCGTTAACCATCTTAAGATTTAAACTTACGTCTTAATTCCATATTTGATATAAAGAATCTCAAATAAATCAATTTTTAAATCACAACGTAAAACATTAAATCATGAGAAGTCTTAAATTCGTAGCACTTGTTTTTGTTTCTTTTTTATTTACATACAAAATGAACGCTCAAATATCAGTTGGTGTAAAAATCGGAGCCAACTTTGCAGATACTAAAGTCAATGGTGTCTTGGGTACATTTGCACCTGAACAAAAAGTGTACACTGGATTTACTGCAGGAATCATAGCTGAAATACCTATGACATCTGCCATTTCGTTTAGACCAGAATTGAATTTCATTCAGAAAGGCTTTCAGATCAGAGAAACTTTTGATGTCAGTGTCATAGGTCTAGATCTTCCACTTGGTGGATCAGCAAGGACAAGATTGAATTATATAGAAGTGCCATTGTTAATTAAATATAGCATAGGAAGCGAACAAGNTTTACTTTCATTTCTAGGTCGTGCTTTTTATTAAAATCCGCCATTTGAGTATTTATATTTGCCTGAATACCTGCAATATTATCTTTTATAGAAAACTTCAGCATTGATTCTAATTCTTTTCTAATCTTACCTTCTCCGATCCATGCCGCAGCCTTATGCAGTACATTTTTAGTTTTTAATTGGATGTCAAGATTATCCATATAAAATCCATTTGCAATTGCATCATATTTGGGTTTACCTTTTATGATTAAAGTCCCATTGACACTACCTGCTACATCTGTTACTACGCGAAAAAATTCATAATCGCAATTGGCCACAATATTACTCAAAGTTATAGATTTATCACCAGCCGTAAAAGTTCGTCCATCGAGATTCGTCTTTATTAATCCATTGATATCCATCATTTTAATATCGGCAATCAGTCTAAAAGTACTACTATCTGGAATAGCTTCATTCCAATACACTTTGGGTAGTGGTCTTGTGATGGTTTGGGCCTGTGGTTTGTAAGTAGAAAAAGTATTTAACATTTTCATGGCTATTTTACCCTCCGACGAATATCTTCCGTTTTGCACTTTATTTAGCTGCATTTGTTCAGGTTTAACGTCCAACCATCCGCCATTACTAACATCCATCTGCATAGGTTGATCAAAAATAGCCATTGTTTCTTTCATCTTTTGCTTCAATGTAAAACTCTCTTTAACAGAAGCATCTATTGATTGCTCTATTTGTTTCTTTGTATTTTTTATTACAAGATTTGAAATGGTTTCAATAGGTAAATTTAATCCAGCAATGGAGAGTTTAGGCTTTTCTAACCATTTATGTGTCGAAAGGCTAGTCTTGGTTGTAAGATTCCAAATGGTATCAACATCCACGTTGGTTACAAAAGTTAATTCTAAGACACCTTTAGCTTTGAGATTTGCGAGAAAAGTATTTTTTTCTACCTGAATTGCTAAGGGCAAGACTACTAATATATTTTTGCCTTCAATCTCTACAGTAGCATCCTTCTGTTTGGACAATGCTAATTTAATATCATATTCGGGAATATCAAAATTTGCTTTAAGTGCATCGTCTATCGCATGATTAAAAGTATCCCTTATGCCTGATTTATCAAGTTTATAATTAATCACGATATCAGAATAAAGATTTCTTTTTACATTTGGTGGTGGAGCTACCACGACTTCTTTTTTCGTTCCACAGGAATGTATGACCAAAATACAAAAGAAAAAAATGGATAAAACAATAACATTCTTTGACATAAGATTTACTAAAATTTTACAACAAAGGTAATCGTATTTTTTGGATAGATGAAAGTTTGAAATGACTCATTTCCGTAAATATTTAATTATCAGAAAGAAATAAGTATATTTTTTTCAATCTATATATTGCAAATATTAATAATCATCGTATATTTGTTTTTTATATGTATTTATACCAAAACAAAAACAGAATGAAAAACGTATTTTTAATACTAATAAGTATTTTTATTTCCTTAGGTGCTTATTCGCAAAACAATGTTTGCAAAGCTATGTGTACAACTGATCCGGTTGTTGTGGAAGAAGAGAAAATCCATTACATTTTCACTGGGTCAGACACTACTGGCTTAAATGTGAAATCTACAAAAATTACAATTATGGAAGGTCGTAAAGAACTTGTAAAGAGAAGAAAGTCTGGTGATTGTTTATCTCCAAATCCAGCAGATTGTATGGTCGAAGTATTGGAAGAAATCCCACCTGTATCAATGAATCTATACACTTTACCAAATAATGAGAAAACCACTGAATACGATATTAGAAAAGAAAAAATAAAAGTCGTTAAAAGTGAAGGTGGTCAAACAGAAGTTGCTATAGTTTGCCCTAAAAACAGATCAGCAAAATTGATAAAACGAGTACAAGCAGCACTCATAAAATCAGGCTATCCAATCATAGAAAACGGTACATTAGATCAAGCAACGCAACTTTCTATCACTGATTTTCAAAAGTCTAAAGGTCTACCATATGGTGATTTGACATTGTCTACCTTGGCAGCTTTAGGTATTAAATAAATAATAATCCCCGTGGTTACGCAGACCACGGGGATTTATTTCTTTTTTATTATCAACTGATTCTGATTAAAACAATAAATGAAAAATCATTACATCATTTCATCAAATATTATTGCAAATAAAGGACTTCGCTTCGGAAATTATTTAATTGATCTCATCTGTATTTGGATATGGATATTTGTTTTGACCTCAATATTTGTTCTATTATCTGATATTATTGAATATGATGCAGAGCCCATAATAACATATATAGGAGAGATGAATAGGCTTGAAGAATACTTATTTGGTCTATTATTTACCATCCCATACTATATTTTTATGGAAGGAATGACTGGACGGACTATAGGCAAATATTTAACTGGAACCATTGTTGTAGATCACCAAGGGAATAAACCAAATTTAGAAACAATCATAAAGAGATCTTTCTGTCGCGCCATTCCATTTAATGCACTTTCCTTTTTGGGAGAAAAATCAAGAGGTTGGCATGATTCAATTTCAGAAACATACGTGGTAATTGCAAAGGATCTTGAAAAAGAAAAACAAAATTACATAGATTTCAATGAAATTGGTAAAAAAGAGTCTGAGTTTGAAAACGGCTTCAATGTTTAATAAAATAACTTAAAGCATTAGAAAGCAAAACATAATACATTGACAAAATATTGAATATGTATACTACTTAGAACTTTAAATTATAATTATGGTTTTATTAAAAGACAACTCGAGAATAACTAAATTTAATAGCATAATTTCACACTTCAAATCTGGCACCTTATATTTTGGAAATTAATTGGTTTGATCACATATTTGTAATTTTGGTCGGGATAGTTATTCCAGCTATGTCTTTGATATCGGGTAGTATGTCAGATGACAAATCCTATCAATTACCACCAAAAAAACACTTATATTTCACAAATGGTTTGGTCCTTATAATAGGAGCACTTTTAGTCCTTTCGTCATGGAATATAGGTAAGAAACCATGGGAAGTCTTAGGTTTTGTTTTACCAGAGATCAATCCAATGGTTATATGGTCTACTGCTGTTTTGGTCTTTTTGTACCTTGGTGATAGTTTTTTAAGTTTAAGATCTGTAAAAAAGAATCAAGAAGATTTCCAACAAATGTCGCACATTGTACCACTCAGTTGGAAGGAATATCTTCCATATGTGTTTTTAGCTTTTTCAGCAGGAATTTGTGAAGAGATCATTTACCGTGGATTTCTAATTCCATATATCTCTTACTATTTGCCAATTTGGGAGTTTTCATTTTTGATTGCGATCATCATACCAGGAATTATTTTTGCTGTAAGTCATTATTATCAAGGAACTTGGAGTGCGGTAAAAATATTTTTTATTTCCATCTTATTCGGATTGATATTTTTCTATTCTGGTTCCTTACTTATTGTAGTAATCATTCACATTCTGATTGATTTGATATCTGGAATAATGGGTGTGTTAGTTTTTAAAAATCTAGAAAAAGAAAAAACGGAGAAAGCTAATAATAATTCAGTGTAATAAAATGTCTTAAAATTTTACAAGCTTCGTCATCGGATGTTTATCCATCCAAGTCATTACTATTTGATTACACTCAGGATTGGGTGACATATATTTTATGGCTTCTTTCCACTCTTCTACACCTTGGTTCAAATCATCCATACTTAAGTAGCCATAACCACGATAATGGCCATCTTCTATAAGGACGATGGCTTTTTCTTCATTGGATTTGCCTTCTGTGATCAAGAAAAAATTATCTGTAAAACTCCTTTGCAGATATTCTATGGCTTCCGTGGCGCGCTCATTGTAAGATTCAGGCGTTTCTATATGTTGACAAGCCCCACTACAAGCACCAGTTTGGTAATAAAAACAGCTGCCTACAGACTCGTAAAGTCCCGTAAGACCAGAACAAAGTCCCAATTGCTCCGTTATCATCATCAAGTGTCCACGAGCCGAACCCTTTGATCCATAATGGTTTAGAATAACTTTATTTTGCCGAGACTTCACACTCGACTTATCCCAATCAAACCGTATGTAGCCTTTAGTATCCACATAGTGATGGATAAAATAAGGATAATCCTTCGTCCGTTGTGCTTTGTTAATTTCTGGTTGTAATGCTTTAATTTCGCTAGATTCAAGCAACATAGCTACGAGTTCATTGCCAGTTTCTTCGTAAGTAATGTCTGCTACTTTTTTAATAAATTTGTCGGTCTTTTCATCCATATTACCAAAGTGCTGCATGATTCGCTTTCTAATATTGATGCTTTTCCCCACGTAAATGACATGACCATATTCATTGTAAAAATAATATACGCCGGCGCTTTCGGGCAAACTATGAATGCGCTCCATCGAAATATCTTTGGGAAGATGAGATGCTTTGATGCCAGCATTGATAATTCTATCTACTTGATGTACGCCACCTTCTTGTGACAATATTCTACCCAATACATTGACTGTAGCCAAAACATCATCCATAGCTCGGTGGCGATTTTCTACTTTGATATCAAAATGTCTGATGAGATTGCCCAAGCTATAAGACCGTAATCCAGGGAATGCTTTGCGGCTCAATACCACAGTACACAACTGTTTGCGTGTAAATGTAAAACCAAGTGCAGCAAATTCTTCTCTAATAAAACTATAGTCAAACCTAACATTGTGGGCAACAAAAATAGCACCTTCTGTCAGCTCCACCACTTGTTTGGCCACTTCATAAAATTTGGGAGCATTGGCCACCATACTATTGGTGATGCTTGTGATACGCGTGATTTCGGTAGGAATAGACCTTTCTGGATTGACCAATGACTGAAAGGAGTCAATAATTTTTTCACCATCATAAAGCGCAATAGCGATCTCAGTGATACGATCTCTTCGAGCCATACCGCCTGTCGTCTCGATGTCAACTACTGCGTAAATTTTGGATTTCATGAAACTAAGCGTAAACAAATCAAAAAAAATAACCACTCAGTACACTATGTATTTCACAAAGGATAATAACCTTTATGCTCTTTGTACTACCTTAAGTGACTTTAGTGGTAAAAAAATATCCTTACATCATCTTATCCAAAAAGTGCAAAAGTTCTTTTTCCATGATATTAAAATCTGCATCTGCGTGAAATAAGTCTTTCATCTTATCGATCAACTCATTTTTTTGCTCTACAGTTGGGAAATAAACGCCTTTGTATGACAGAATTGTTTCATACGCTTTATAGTCGCTCATACTGTCAAACTCCGCTACCATTTTATCAAAGGTTACCAAGCCGACATTCTTTTTTATCATGGCTTTTTCTTCTTCTGCAAATTCCATATCTACATGTGAAATATAGATCAGCAAAAAAGCTAAAAACTCATTGTAACTCCATTTTAATTCGCCCATTTTTTGTTGTTTAAGGTTTAATGATGTTTAATGTCTAAGGTTAAGGCTTTGAGCCGATTTCTGTAAGATATGCAGGTGTTGCAATTAGCCTTTCATTAGGATATATCTCCTTGACTATCAATGTAAATGTAACCTTCTCACCTTCCTTTTTATAAGTTTTAGGAAGGTTACATGCCAAAAATCTGCTATCTCCATCTTGTGAAAGTATTACATATTGATCTGCTACTTGTATGATACTACCTTGTTGATTGGTCAATGTTTCTTGGTTTTTTCTATCAGCTAGACAATCTGTTAGCGAAAGTCCATCATGACCTGATTTACCCAAAAATGATTTGCAACTTATCAGAGATAAGAGACAAAAACATACGAAAACATTCCACACAAAACCTTTCATTTAAATACGATTAATCAAAAAATTACTTCAAATATTCATCCAACCTTGACAATGCTTTGTCTAATCCACTTACTTCTGTTCCGCCTGCCGTAGCAAAAAATGCTTGTCCGCCACCACCACCATTGATCTCAGTTGCCAATGCTTTCACGATATTGCCTGCGTGCCATGACTTTGATTTGGTCAATGCTTCAGTTATTGTCAGCATGATTGTGGCTTTGCCTTGATCTTCTAGTCCAAACAAGATGACGGATTCACCCAACTCTGTTTGGATATTATGCGCCAAAGTCTTAGCAGATTTGCTATCCATATCTTTGAGCTTTACAGCCAATACCTTTATGCCATCCATATTTTTAGCACTGCTGACGAGATTGTCTTTTAAGGATGCTGCTTGGATAGCTCTCAATTTTTCTATCTCACGCTGCAAATTTTTATTCTCATCCTGCAGGTCAGAGATGTTTTTTGCCGTATTGATGTTGTTTTTGAAAAATGACTTGATGGCTGTCAATTCATACATTTGATTATTAATATATTCTTCAGCTTTTACAGCAGTCACAGCTTCTATCCTTCGCACACCTGCTGCAATACCACCTTCGGATGTTATCTTAAAAAATCCTAATTGACCGGTTGCCTTCACATGACAGCCACCACACAATTCGCGTGAGTAAGCGGGATCGAAAGTGATCATACGCACAGTATCTCCATATTTCTCACCAAAAAGCATCATTGCTCCAGATTTTTTAGCTTCTTCTATAGGTAATGCCCTTGCTTCTTCGAGATGTATGTTTTCTCGAATTTTTTCGTTGACTATTTTTTCTACTTGAGCGATCTCTTGGTCTGTGATTTTCTGAAAATGTGAAATATCAAATCTCAAATAATCTTCTTTGACCAATGATCCTTTTTGCTGTACGTGTGTACCGAGAACTTGTCTCAATGCTGCATGAAGCAAGTGCGTAGCAGAGTGATTATTTTCTGTGAGCATCCTTTTGGTTGCATCCACTTCTCCATAAATCTGTGCATCAATATTGTCCGGTATTCGATCTACAAAATGGATGATAAGATCATTTTCCTTTTTTGTGTCCAATACTTTGACAAATTCACCATCAAACATTAAAAAGCCTGTATCCCCTACTTGTCCGCCACCTTCTGGATAAAAAGGCGTCGAATTCAACACCAATTGATACAATTCTTGGTCTTTTTGCTTAAGTACTCTGTATTTAATTGCTTTGGCTTCTTGGACGATCAATTCATCATAACCCGTAAAAGTGGTTTGACCTTCTTCACCAACAATCACCCAGTCGCCTGTCTCTCTTTTAGCATCGGCTCTAGACCTTTCTTTTTGTACTTTCAAAGCTGCTGCAAATCCTTCTTCATCGACTTTCCAACCACGTTCTTCTGCAATCAGTCGAGTCAAATCTACAGGAAATCCATAAGTATCGTACAATTCAAAAACGTCATTTCCATCTACTTGATTGTCTGTGACTTTTAGATCTTCTATCCTTCTCAGTCCACCTTCGAGTGTCTTTAAAAATGACTTCTCTTCTTCTCTTATTACTTTTTCTACAAAAGATTTCTGTAGGAACAATTCTGGAAATACATTTTCGAATTGCTTAGACAAAACAGGAATCAACTGATACAACAACGGTTGTTTATAGTCCAAAAATGTATAATAATATCTCACCGCTCGTCTCAAAATACGGCGTATCACATATCCTGCGCCATTATTTGAAGGCAACTGACCATCAGCTATTGTAAAGGCTATTGCCCTAATATGGTCTGCCAATACTCGGAAAGAAATGTCTTGTTTTCCATCACCGTAAGTATAAGTTTTGCCAGTGATTTTTTCTACTTCAGCGATCGTACCTGTGAATACGTCGGTGTCATAATTGCTTTGTTTATTCTGAATAGCTCTCACTAACCGTTCAAATCCCATACCAGTATCCACATGCATAGCTGGCAATTGCTCTAATGAACCATCCGCTTTTCTATTGTATTGAATGAATACATTATTCCATATTTCTATGACTTGTGGATGATCATTATTGACCAAATCCTTCCCGGGAATCAATGCTCGCTCTTCGTCAGATCGCAAATCTACATGTATTTCACTACAAGGACCACATGGACCTGTATCGCCCATTTCCCAAAAATTGTCTTTTTTATTACCAAAGATGATATGCTCTTGTGGAACCAATTTGGACCATTCTTTGAGTGCAATCTGAGATGGTGGTAGATTTTCTTTCGGATCACCTTCGAAAACAGATACATACAATCTATCCTTAGGTAGCTTATATACTTCCGTCAATAACTCCCAACTCCAAGCGATGGCTTCTGCCTTAAAATAATCACCAATACTCCAGTTGCCCAACATTTCAAACATGGTATGGTGATAAGTATCTACGCCTACTTCTTCGAGATCATTGTGTTTTCCACTGACTCTCAGACACTTCTGCGTATCTGCTATCCTAGGATTGTCCGGTTTTCTATTGCCAAGGAAGTAGTCTTTGAACTGATTCATACCAGCATTAGTAAACATCAACGTAGGATCGTCTTTAACTACGATGGGCGCCGAACCTACTATTTTATGGTTTTTACTAGCAAAAAAATCTAGAAATTTCTGTCTTATTTCGTTGGATGTCATCTCGCGATCAACTATTTTAAAGTATAAATTAAAAATTTAGCCGCAAATATACGAGATAAAAGGAAGGTATAGAATTATTGTTTGGGAAAATGCGGAAGGAAAGTCGTAACAATCAAACAACATCCAATTTGAACCTTTAAACAAACTATTCAGAACAAACTAAATCATTCCATTTTGATATCTCTTCAGCTTTATCAGGATTTAATTTTTTACTCCACATGTCAACAAGCTGACAAGACCAACGATCAAAAGATACATTTTCATCCTTGATTATTTTTTGGAAGGTGGAGAAATTATCATTGCTTGATGTTTGATTAGTTGAAATTGAATATATTTGGTATAGATAATCCAAGAGATATTTACTTTTTTTGTCTGGTGGCGTCAAATTTTTAAGAACATTATAGTAGTTTTTAAATTTGATAATTTCATTGCTGATCAAGTATAGCTCCAATAAACTTAGTTCATTGGCCCACCATTTAGAATTATTTTTATTTTCAATCTTTTCCAAGAAATCACTTTCTGAAGTTTTAAAAATAGAATCTGCCTTAAAATGATCTTCCATAAAATGATAAGTTAAAGCCAGCTGTTCATTTAGTGGGATATCATATTTGGTTTCTAGATATTTCAGGTCTTTCAAACTACTTTTATAATCACCTATGTAGAAATAAGCGTTAGCCCTATTATATATCTTAGGGACAGTAAAATTTACGATCGTAACACAAAAATCTATATCTCTTTGAATACTAATCGAATATGGTTTTATACATTCTTGATATCTTTTTGCTTCATATAGAGCATCTGCATATTTATCTGGACTTATCAATTCTGCAGCCCTTACAGAATCTATCTCTAAGGCAATAGGATAAAGTTTTAAGATAGGATTATTATTGTTATGATAGTCATATCTCGAACAACCACCTTTAGTTCAGTTGCATTGTAGAAATAATAGTGCAAGGATTTATCTCCATTATTTCTTAGATCAAATTCGATGAAATCATCCAATTGATAAACTTCTAAAGGGAAGATCTCTATTTTATTTTTGCTCAAGTCGAGCCTCTTTGTCTTGAAATTTGCCCAACCAGATTTAGGTACGTTTGTAATATTGCATTCAGAAAAGTCAATACTTTCAAATTTTTGGGGCATGTTTATTAACACTTTCAGAATTTCCCCATCAAACTCTTTATTAAGCGCACATGAAATTGTCTCCAATCCAGTCATATTTCGGATTGTAGATGGTAAGGACAGAATATTATTTGAGAAATCAGGCTTAAAACGGTCATTGTCTGCGTAGTAACTATTATGTAAATATAATGTCTTTAGTTTTGTAAGATTCCCTATACTACTTGGGATAGCTTTAAGGTTATTATTGGCTAACTCCAAAATTTCTAAAGAAGATAAATCACCAATTTCGGAAGGCAATTCTTTTAAATTATTATTATTAAGATTGAGTTTTTTTAACTGAGTAAGGTTTTTTATACTTTTCGGCAATATTTCTATTTTGTTATAGCCTAAATCTAAATATTCTAATTTTTCTAAATCACCAATAGATTCAGGTAGCCTATTTAGTTTACAAAAATGGGCTTCTAGACTTTTTAAATTCTTTATCTTTCCTATTGTATTTGGAAGTGTTGTGATTTTGATAGATGAAATATCTAAAGCTGTCAGATTTTTAAGTTCACCTATTTCATTAGGAAGTACTTTGAAGTTCCCACTTAACTCGAGTTTTTCAAGATTAGTTAGTTTTTTGATATTTCTACTTAAAATTGTGTCAGAAAAACCACTAATTACAAGATTTTTCAAATTATATAAATCAAAAAGTGATTTAGGGATATAACAAGCTTCACTTTTCCAACTAACTGATACTTGTAAGTCTTCTATATTTTTCAATAACCCTATATTTTTTTCAATATTTGAAGTAGCCTTGCCCAAATTCAAAGTGACATGTTTTAATTTTGGTAATGTGGCTATATTTTGCAATAGAGGTGTATCTTCCTTTGTACCCATTCTATAAATAAACAAATTGCTCAAATCCTTAAAAACTCCAAAATCTGCTGCATTTTCATCAGAAAGTGTAAAACCTGCCAATGAAAGAAACTTTAAATTACTAGCTTTTTTTAATGGTTCGAAGAAATTTTTGGTTTCGTGATTGTAGGATTCTAATACAATACTGTTAGCTTTTAGCGGGTATTTTTCGGGGTTGGGAAGATAAATTTCAGTTTGGTTCATATATATTCCTTCCATTTTTGCCAATAACTCATCTAAAGCTGGAGAGCTAACCAATTTATTACCGATATTGTAAATACCCAAAAATTTAAGCGATGGCATTTTCATCAATTCTGACCATAAACTGTCATAATTTAAATTCATTTTTCCATCAATATAAACGAAATCTATATTTTCAAGATTCCTGAACTTTGGGATATATGTAAAAGCCGTATCTCTCCAATTTGAAGCTAATTCAATTGAAGTGACATGTTTATGTGCATTAATAAGGGCTACTTTTTCTCTAAGATTGTCAAATTCTGTTACATGAATGGTCACATTATTGAACCTTACTTCTTTTAATCTTTCTGTCAACTCTTTGTCCCCAATATTTAAAGGGAAATAGCTAATTCTATAATCCGAAGTTACTTCATCACTGAAATACTTTTCAAAACCTGATTGTGCATTTCCATAGAATACACCTAAAAAAAGGATAATTATTGTTATTATAATTTTCATCTTTAAAGTTTATTTTATAAATCCACTAAATTATTCTTTTTGACTGCTATTCAAATTAAATGTCACATAAACATTCAAGGCACCTGAGCTTATTTGAGTATAGTTATATCGATAAGATTGATTTAAATATTTACTGTAATATTTTTTATATCCAAAATAATCAATAAACTCTATTCCAAAGGAAGTACCTTTTGGCCCTGAAATTGCAATTCCTACTGCATACTGAATAGAAAATATCCTATCAACATAAGTATTTCCAAATTGACTTCTTCCATAGTCATTAGTTCCAACCTGTTCAAAATATTCACTTCCGTGTTCTTTATACTGTGTATTAAAATTGAAATTATTTATTAAACCTACAAAGGCAGAAAACCTGTTTTTGTTATAAACTAATTTTATTGGAAGTAGCAAATGGTCTAATTTATATTGATCTTCCAGTTCACTAAAACCAACTTTTATATTTGTTCGATTGTATAAAAGTTCTGATCTAAACAAAAAATTACCAGCACGGTTAAGTTTAAAATCCTTCTCTAGTCCAACGGAATAGTTAAATGTCTTACTGAATCCAAATTCTTCATAATATTCATTTGTAGGTGGAGTCATCCCATATGCGCCTAGACTAAGTTTGAGTTTAAATTCTTTTGTAAATTGAGCAAATAAAATATTTGCACTTAATATCATCAAGAATATAAATGGGTATTTTATCTTTTGAATCATAAATTTAGTTTTAAATGAAAGTTTTAAAATATGAGTGACAAAGTTAACCCAATAATTAATTTCAACAATTCTTGCGACAATTATATTTGATTCATATAAACCTTATTTAACCAATAACTGCTCCACCAATAGCACTACTCCTTTTGTAGCAGGCTCTGCGATTACATGAAGATTTGGTCTTCGTTTTAGTTCGTACGAAATGTTAGGTTTTGGGTCGATGTAGTAGACTTGGCAACTAGGATTTGCATATTGGACCAAACCAGCTGCAGGATAAACTTGCATAGATGTACCAACGATCATAATAATATCTGCTGACGCACATTCATCTATAGCCG